GCATTGCCCTCTTCCTCTTCCCCTCCCCCCCTCCTGATTTTCCTCTCCATTGCCATACCTCCTCCTCTTCCCCTCTTGCTCTTCTCCTCCTCCTCCTCCTCCTCCTCCTCCTCCTTCGCTCCTCCTCCTCTTCCTCCTCCTCCTCCTTTTGCTCTGATCCTATTGTTGCCTTTTCCCGCCTTTCCTCATTATTGGACGTTCTGAAACCCTGACTTGATTCATTAGACAGTCGACGACTCCCGATCCCGATTATTCTACATCTGCCCGTACATTCCTTCCAAGCAAAAATAAAAAACTAAATAAATATAAATATAATCATATAAACACACTCATATACCGTAATATATTCATATATATATAATCATATATATAATCAAATATATCATCACATGAATATAAGAGCGCAAAAGCGAAAAAAAGAAGAAAAAAGAATGAATTCGTTTTTTTATATCTTCTTGCTTACAACTCCCCCTGTTCAGAACCTCTTGCGTACAAGGCCGCCCACGTGGATGTAGGTTGAGCTATAATAGAATATAAATAGAATAATTTAAAATTATATAATTATATAATTATATAATTATATAATTATATAATTTTAAATATAAATACGAATAGAATTCTCCACCCTTCCATACATTCCTTCCAGTCGAATCCCCCCCCTCCCCCTTCCCCCCCCTCTCCCCCCCCCACACACACAAAAACTCTTGAGCAAACTCTTGAGCTTCACATCCCATTACGCACACTCCCTTTCACACCGCAGCACTCTAGCTTGTGGGTGAGATGACCGCCAGAAGAACGGCAACTTCGTCGCTATGGGCGACACGTGGCACTTCGTCGCTATGGGCGACACGTGGCAGCGTAAGGCGCGACCCAGGGCATCGCGCGCGAGCAGAACAAATATCGATCATCTCTCTTCATCTTAAAAAACGGAGACGAAACGAACTTGAGAACTTGAGATATCATCCTTGACCTGACCCGACGCCCCAGGGGATTCACACTTTTACTGTATTTTCCTTCTGTTCATCTGATTGCATCTAGATTCGGACGCGTGTCTGATTCATATTTCAACAGTGCATGGGAGAACCAGCTACCCTGCCTCCGCTGATAACAATCCTCTCTCTCTCTCTCTCTCTCTCTCTCTCTCTCTCTCTCTCTCTCTCTCTCTCTCTCTCTCTCTCTCTCTCTAACTCGATGCAAATACATCAATCAAGTCAACAATAGGTCTCTACTTCTGTCGTTTCGTTTTACAGTATATCCCCCCCTCCTCCCCTCCCCCCCCCTCCCCCGGGGCCCCTTTTCTTTTTCAATTCTTTAGTTTGGAGACTAAAGAGACGTGCGGCAGGGCATACACGTGATGATGGGGAGCAGGAAAAGAATGTCGCAAATAAACCGATCATCGCAAAAAAGAAGCTGCGGAAAGAAGAAATAGAGGGAAAACCTCACAGGCTCACACTTTGGGCCTCGCTGCACTACTCTTGAAAGGTGCAAAACGAGAGTGAATCTTCCGCTAGAACATGGAAAGATACAGCGACATGATTTTTGTCTTTTGTGCATTTCAAGAGTAGTGCAGCGAGGCCTTTTATTGATGTTTATTGCCCGAAAGAGGCAATGAATACGGTAAGACACAAGTGAACAGGAAAAGAATGTCACGAAGCAGCTGATCTTTGCAAAAGCTGGAGAAAGAAGAAGAAGAATTTCATTTTTTCGTCCATGATCCGATCTTCAAGAATCGAACACGCGACCTCCCTCATGGGATGGGAGTTGCACGCTCAAAGAAGCAGAGGACAACCTCACACGTTTAATTTTTAGTGCCCGAATGTGGGCGTAATTACAGTCAGACGCATCGAGGGAACGATTTCTTTCTGCTGCTGCACGAATTAAGCCAATAGACTCAGAGTAGGAAGATCGACTGTGGGAAGCGAACGTTGAAAGGAATATCCGCGGAAAAGAGCCCCTAGCCTATGCACATAGTACTCTCCACACGTGAAACATGCAGTTTGTGGCCTGAAGGGATAGGCATTTTCGTGTCGACGAGTGGAAACTTACGTGGATTGACTATGTGTAGCCCGTTGAGGGGCCGACACGTAACGGATCATTACGGAGTTGGGATAACGTCTATGAGACAGAGCCGGTCGTCGCCGTAGTCGCTCGTGGAAGTGCCCGTTGGGATGGGAGTACCGTGCTGGCTAGGCTGACAACTCGATGGACAGTATATATAGGAGGACAAGGCCGTATTGGTCCTCTTTTTTCTTTTTTTTCTTTTTTTTTACTCAGTAAGACGGGAGGATTGTCGGCGGGCCGCAAGGCAAGGGTTATGTGGAAAGCCCCCTGAGGAGGATCGGAGCGCAACCGATCGAAACGCGTCGGGGATTGTGAGCGAGAGCTGAGACGACGAGTATGCGCGGCTTTGTAATGAAGAGCTTTCGAAGCGTGTACGAAAGGCAGTTGGCCACTGTTTTCACTATTCACCGTTCTTCTTCCTCTTCTTCTTCTTCGTCGTCCTTCGCTAATCCATAGCCATTAACCCCCTCCTCCTTCATCTTCCTTGTGCTGGTAAGTCGAACAGCAGCACACTAGACATGGCAGAGACACATCGGCTACGAAATGCCAAATGATAGATCTGCGCCCCCTTCTCTCCAACCAGTCTTCCTCCTCCTCCTCCTCCTCCTCCTCCTCCTCCTCGTCGTCGCTCTAGTAATCATGCCTTCCTCATCAATCTCTCCGAGGCACGAAATAGCGGCGATGCCATCTTCTCATCGTCCTCGTGTCCACAATGTCATCGCCTTCGTCAATCAATAACCCCCTCCCTCCTCCCTCCTCCCTCCCCCTCCTCCTCCTCCTCCTGCTGCTGCTGTTGCTGCTGCTGCTACTGTTGGTAAACAGGGGCAAGACATGGTTGAGTGCATACTAACAAAGGGGGGGGAGGGGGGGGTACCTATGAATTAGATCGCAATTTAGGTCAGATACGAACGGAAAAGTCCAATTGCTAATATGCCCCCCAGATACGCGACAGAAAGGCGGGAGGTCCACCGGACTCCGAGATTGTTTTTCTTTTACTTCTTCTCATTCTCTTTTTTCAATGCCATCAAATACAATGTAGATGGCGATGGCTGCCCGATGTGCGGACGAAATGGAAGGAGGCGGAGAACGAGGAGAACGAGGAAAAGGAGGAGAAGGAGGCGAAGGAGGAGAGGCTGAAGGAAGAAGAGGAGGAAGAGTAGGGCGTACGTGGAAGAGGAGGGAAAGGACGAGGAGGGAGGAGGGAGGAGGATGGCATTGGAAAAGAGCAACGGACAAGGAGCACAGGGGAGG